TTCAGAATTCTGTTTGGATGGCGATTGAACATGGCGTCAGTGACGCTGACCTGAAGCGCCTCGTCGAGGACTACGTCGATCGTGCGATGAGTTCCGGCATGTTAAAAGCTGACAAAAAGTACACGAAACCCCGTACGAATGTCGAAACCACTCCCAAGACACGGACTTTTTCAAGTCGAGTGGTCGACGAGAGTGTAACTCCACCACCACCACCAGCGTGGCAACGGGGATATCCTTCCTACCGTAGACTTCCATCTGGGAACGTCGACGTATGGGTTCCCTGACCGTATTTTTTGTTGTTGATTGTTCTCCGCACTTTTTTGTTGTTTTCAAAAGCCATTGATAGTTGTACAGGTCTAGTTATGTAATACTATGTCTACGTTATCAGTTACAGTAAAGACTTTAGTATGTTTTCTGAAGTGGTTTAAATATATGATATCTATATTTTTATCCTGATTATAAAAATTCGAGCCATGCGCAGTTATGCTCATTACTATAAGCGTGGCTGCTAAACGATCAAAATGCATCCGAATCAGTGCACTTGAATCAGCTTTCTTCCTAACCTCTCGAGCTTTTACGACCGCTTCCTACGCGAGAGGTTAGGAAAACCCTCATCAAGCAGCACTGAGAAATGACGTGCGGATCTGAAGGGCAACATCATATCAGCAATGTTTGATGGAGCGAATCAGCAAATGAGGGTTAAGGGAGCCTCAATGATCACTGCTGTTCGTGTAGGGCTGTTGCTGGAAGGTCAGCAATGAGCAGTGAAGAGACCTTCAAGAAGGTGAGTCCACAATTCAAACTAACGTGGCGGGGGGTAAACAATGGTACGAGCCAAATTTTCGCACCCTATGTGCGAAGTGACCTCATTAAGGCTGATGACATAAGGGTCACAACACCACCCACACCTCTCTGTTAATCAGGTAAAACGCAATTAATTGAGGAAACAAATCGTTCATAATAATAGTTGAAAAACCAAGACCCGACGCCCGCGAGGGGACACATCCCCTCAGTCGTATGCACAAGCCCCACAGGTCCGAGGGGATATATTCCCTCGGGGTCGGACCTCGGGATTTCGGTAATGAATCCCCATACGGAGCAAATCCTGTGCTCGCATCCCAGTCTCCGTGATCCCCCATGGGGGCACGCGCTAAAGACATATCGAAAGGATGTCGAAAATTTCTAAACGGATCTCAATAACAGCAACGCTAGAATCACAAAAGAGAATCCGACAATAATATAAGAACTTGTCCGCATAATTCTCAAAAGCAATAAGGAATTTGCAAAAGGGCTGGGCTATAAGAGGCTTTCAAATAAGTTCGTGCGCTTTTTCTCCTGCGAAAAATGTAACTTCTGCGCATCAGTACATACTAAAATTGATTTACAAGAAGCTCATTGTTATTCCACAATGCATCAATAACCTATACCATTTATCCGGAGGAATTCCAAAGGTGAAAAGAACCACAAATTAAGTGTTGGCTTCTTCGGAAAGATTCCGCCGATTTCGATTCTCGAATTCGGAGGAACTGGTAGGGAGCTCTCGAGAGAGATACGCATCTATACCGCGAAATGCGATGATGTGCTGATTATGAGCGAATGCACTGAAGGTTTTCTTCTACAGAAGCCGTTTTCTTTTTTCGAAGCGCGAATATCGCAAAATCAAAGTGCCCCGAAATAATAATCGCTCAGTAGAAATTATCCTAAATTGAGCGTCACAAAGAAGAAGAGGGCAATCTTAACTGGCAGGATTTGCTCCCTATGGGAATTTCATCACCGAAATCCCGAGTCAACTCGACCGCGACGGAAGTCGAACTGACCAAAGCCGTCGGGGATGAGTCCCCTAGTCGAGAGCAGGGGATTCATCCCCTCCGTTGTCTCCCCAAAGTCGTATGCAACAAGCCCCGAGGGGATATATCCCCTCAGTGCTGCGAGGCTTGTTGCATACGACTCAGGGGATATATCTCCTAAGACCTGTGGGGCTTGTGCATACGGCCCATGGTGCTTCTTTTTACCAGGGGTCTTGCGAAGTGGTACAGGGGGTCCCGAAAAGTCATAGAAGGGGCACATGAAGGGCATAGCTAATGTGTAGTTTTGCAGTTTCTTATACCTTGTTCAATCTTTCGGTTGTAACTATTTAGTGATAGTTGATTGGTGATAACGGGTCATTTCGATTGTTTTTTTTTGTATTTTAGATTGACAGTACTTCCTCTTTATTCATGTTGTAATTTGTTGTGTGGTTTTCCAATTTGACTGCTATTTCTACGTGTCTAGAACACATGTTTGGATGGTGTTGTGACCCCTAGGCCGTCTCCCTTAATGAGGTCACTTCGCAGTTATCCGCGGAGTATTCTTAATTAGGTGTGAATCGTACCATTTTCTACTGACCCCTCACAAGGCGGGTCTCATCCCAAAACGTAAGGGGGCATGGTGGTCAAAAATCATATTTCATGACAGGAAATCCAGTGTTTCTTCAGGGATCGAGTGGCTGAAAAACCGTAAGCGAAATGATTTAACGCACCCCTGGGGTCCCTCCCCCTTGCAAAAATTTCGTGATCGACAAGGACTGTCACACCACGGCCCTCCCCCTTACTGGATTACAGCCAACGTGACTGCTAAAAAGATCACCAATCATACGAAATGCATTGCGTTTGAATCCAATTTTCTTACCTAATCTTTCGCGTAAAGATTTTACGACGGCTTCTACGCGAGAAGGTTTAGGACAAACCTCGATCAGCCAAGCACTGAGATTATTGACGTGCGGATCTGTAGGGCAACATCATATCAGCAAGTGTTTAATGGAGTGAATCGGCAAATGAGGGTTAAGGGAGCCTCAATGATCACTGCTGTTCGTGTAGGGCTGTTGCTGGAAGGTCAGCAATGAGCAGTGAAGAGACCTTCAAGAAGGTGAGCTACTTGCGGTCCCCATCAGAAGCTTATGCTGCCTTAATTACTTTTTCAGTCTTCTGAAGATGATCAAAGTATTACAAAGGTTTGTGCTGTTTTCAGTCTTGGAAGGCGATGCGTAAGCGGTTTTTGGTCTCGCTTCCGAGAAGGTGAACGCAATGTGTAAGCTTCCGAAAAGGTGAACCAAATTCTTCAAGAGGAAGTGTATACCTTCGAAGGCTTAGAGCCTAGAAGTCTCCCGAATTTCTTGGCATTCTCCTAATGCTGAAATTCTGCCTGCCTCCTGACCTTTGCGCAATCAGTGAATATTCCAGTCAGGAAATACAAGAAAGAGAGATTTCTGAGCGGGGCTTAGGAGAGGGGGTGCATGCGTTGGGCGAGAATGGGCTGCTGTGGCTGTATGCAATTGGTCGTGGCGTGCGGCAACTGTTTGTGCTGGTTGCGGGAGTACCAGTCTTCCCGGTCCGACATACCAAAACCCTGTAACGCCCTAGGCTCGCGTCATCGTCCTACGTACCTTTCCGTCGCCATGATGGCCTTGCGAAAGAAGTGTCAAGTCGATATGAATGCGAAGCTATGTGGCACGAGTGACGGATAGAGAGAGAATCGCTGATCAAAAGCTACAGCCACATGTACTTGGCCTAACACGCAGTTCTATTCGAACTATCTGGAGTCTACTCAGCCCTATGACGGAGTCTGACAAGCTGTGCATAGGAAGCTAAGCGCACGGATATCCCCAACACAGTGGCCCAAATCGGTCTCATTCTTCTGAACATGAGCGAACCCTAATGCAGCAGCTTGGAATTGAATTACACGGAAGTAGATCAACTGTTTGCCAAAAGAGGGAAGGACTGAGCTGGTGATTTGCACTCCCAACGCATGATCGCTTGCATCCGACGAAGCTTATATTGTGAAGTTGATGATGAAAGCAAGAATCACGAAGCAAAAGACTTCGGATGAACCGAGGCAAAAAGGCACCGCCCACTTACGCCATTCTGACATAGGTAGAGGGACTTTTCTCAGAGCGTTCGTCAGCAAAGGAGTCGACCTCATGGAAATCCCTGTCAAATTTGGCCATTAACATTGATACCTACAAGTCCTACCGAAACGATCCGAACTGGAAGAGATCGAAAGATGTGGTTCAACACCCGTTTGGTAATCATCGTCGACTATTCGCCAGACCACATGATGAAGAAGAGCATAGAGCATTCCATTCTACGTACTACGTACTACATACTAAAATGCACCACGAAGGTGCTATTCGACATCGAGCTAGAATCAAGGGAAACAAGGCAGCAGAGTTCCGTAAAGTGGTGGTCAGTTATACTCTTGACCACCACTTTACGGAACTCTGCTGCCTTGTCTCCCTTGATTCTAGCTCGATGTCGAATAGCACCTTCGTGGTGCATTTCAGTATGTAGCACGTAGTACGGGGGCTTAAATGTGGATAGAGGTTAGAGAAGGAAAGGAGGCTAAATGTTAACGGTGGGCGGAGCGCACACCGATGTGGCGGAGTTTGCTCCTAAGTTTATAACTTGGTTCCAAGAAGTCCAGTGGACCGGGAAGGAAAGGAGTAGAGGTAGGCGAAGGAGAGCAGATCCACTGCTATTGGTGGGAGGGGCATGCACCAAAAAGGGCGGAGTTGGTCACAGAAATTCGTGATTCGGTTCCTAGAAGTCCCGTTGATGAAAAAGAGGGAAAAGGTCGAGAGGGTCAAATGCCATCGATGGATGGGGCATGCTACGAGCGGATAGAATCTAGCTCAAAAGTCAAATATTTGTATAGGGCAGAATATGAGACCCCCTATAATATATGTAAGAACCATGGCGCTATCGTTACTGTGACTCGAGCTACGAATTTCGTGACAAACAGACACACACACACAGACATACACACACACAGACATACTTAGCGAATTATATATAGTAGGATATTAATTTCAGCAGTCATCCGTCGAAGGGACAATCAACAGTTTAGCGGTAAGATAACTATAGTTTCGATTATGGTAAAGAATGACCTACTCCTCATCATTATAGGCTTCAAAAAATGACTTATCAACGAAGACGGTAATGCATTTTGTTGATCTATGAAATTTGCTCGGAACGAATTTGTCAACATAACTTCTTATCTTTAAGGAGACAATAACTAAAAGCGTGGACGAAGTGGCCAGCGAAGGTTTTGAAGAGTCTGAGCCACTGTTACCAAAAGGTGAGACTTGTGAACTGCTACTCAGGGACTTTGCGGGCGCCTCGTACGCTTGCATCAAAGAGGACAGGCATTCTGGCGATTGAAATAACTTTTTGAGAACCCATCTATTGGCCCATTCACTACAGGAATTGGAAGCAGATTTGACTGAGGACCTGGATAGTCTCGGATGTGCAACGAGCTCCATTGCTCTGTTCCCAAATTGTAGCTCAATTAGATGACGCTGCATAACTGGTCTTGTTGGACTGAAACAGACTGAAACAAACCTTGTAACCGCCTTAGCCAGCTGTGTGTTGACTGATCTTTGGCGTTGACCGTGGAGCAGCTTATCTACTATTGAAATTTGAACAAATATTCAAATGATTATAACTTTCTTCAAATATGACGAATTTTCAATCTGAAAGCAGATTTGGGAGTTTTGTGAAGAGCTCTTTCTAATCAGTATTGAAATTACAAAAAGTTATAAGAAATAACAAATTTAGATCAATTAACGAGGAAAATTCATGATGAGCACGAGTTTTTACACTTTCCGAAGCCACAACTTGCTTCCCTTTTTTTCTTTTTTCCGATTCCTCAACGCACGCTTGACCCTGCTCAGATAACGGTGTCGGCACAAGCCAGGCTGCATGCGGTGATTTCATAACTCTGACTCATGATGTATGTATGTGTGTATGTCGCGCTGCCAGAACGCAAACCTCCTGGGGCCGTAAGGTATGCTTCCCCGAATGTTGCGGGGACGAAAGTCCCTTTAAATTTTTTTGTTTTGAACGATACTGTTTCTTTATTTTCAATGCATGTTTACTTTAAGCTACACATATATTAAATGTAGGCCCTTTATCAGGACAATCCCAGTTGGGAGACAGAGAAAATTTAAAGGGATTTTCGTCCCCTAACCCTTCGGGGAAGCATACCTTACGGCCCCTGACCGAGAGGCGTCCATCAGACTTGAATGTACTCTTAGCTCATCAATCCTTATCATTCTTTTCTTCGCGCATTACCTATCTTCACTGAGATTATTATTATGGGAATATGTATAGGCACTGCCATCGCCTATCCCCTTAAATCACATGTTATCGATTCAGTACACTAATCGCAAATGTGTTAGAAGCTCCTACTCATCCACCCTTGATTTATATGACTTTCACAAAGGTATATCTCGAAGTGGGCTTTGTACGAGGCATACCTCTATTCTTGAGAAAGACACTACAACCCTTCCTTCCGAAGAGTTAAAGACAAGCCCGGGATAAAACCGGTGATAAGAGCGCTTCGTAGTGATGACTGAGCTGCGGGACGGCCTGAAAGTGGAAAGGAAAGCTAGAGAAATCTTTCGGGATGAAATTAAGGCCTTTACCCTTCAAAAAGGTCGGAGTGTGGAACGATGACGAGGCAGGGCGCCAAAGGCTTAGCTGGAGTGACCTTACAATTTTCCTCGCGGTATCATTCCCACACTTCGTGCTGATTCCGGATTTTGTTCCAAGTATGATCCACACCTTTCTTCTTCTTCCTTATTCTTTAGCGTTTGTCCCACCCTGTGGCGGGGTCCGCTTTCCTGGTATTACGACGCCACTTTTCCCGATTATGTGCCCAAGTAATTACAAGTCCTTCTTGCAACTTATCCCCTTGGTCGTTCTTCCTGGCACGTTGAAGTCTAGACCGATCTTACGGACACTCTCATTATTAGCGCGAAGGACGTGACCGTACCACCTCAGGCGAGCTTCGCGCATCTTATCAGCGATGGGAGCCACACCGAACCGCTTTCTGATGGTATCGTTGCGAATGTGGTCCAACGCGTGACCCCGGCAGTCCAGCGCAGCATTTTTGTCTCCATTACACTGAGACGAGCCTCAACCTCTTTAGTCACGGGCCAGCACTCTGCTCCGTAAATGGCGACTGGTCGGACGACGGTTCTGTAGATCTTAGATTTCAGTCGCTCTGGTATTTTCTTATCGCAGAGAACGCCGGTCATCGAGCGCCACTTGGACCAAGCTGCACTCACCGGGAGTTTACTTCAGAGATCAGGCTGCCGTCGGACGCGATTGCCGACCCAAGATACTTGAACGATGTTGTACGTGTGAGCTCAGTGCCACTGATCTTAATTGTGCCTGGACTCACTCAAATCGGTGGTCAAAGTACTCTGTCTTCTTCACATTCAACCTGAGCCCAAACATAGCCAGACGGTCGGACCAGGTTTGCACCTGTTGCTCGAGCAGATGTTTGTCATCACATGCGAGCATCACGTCATCAGCATAAAGAAGCGTCCATGGAGCGGGCTTCTGAAGATCACGCTAAAATGGCGACAATGAATAGGAGGAGGGGAATGCGCGAAGCCTTGGTGCATACCGACCGAGATGGGAATTCCATGATCCACACCTTTCACCGCGATTTTCGACCTCGCGGTTCATCCAGGAGTGAAAACGAAGAGTTGATGCCACTCGTGCCATCCCATCATTTCTCATTCTCTGCCGTCACTTTTGCCTTCAGTTCAAGGCTTCGTCTTTTGCCTGTGTCTTTACTTCACGAACCCCAACTCACTGATGCTTAAAGCCACGAGTCAGGATTAGGTAACCCTAGAAGGCCTTTCCATCACTAATATTTCCAGGAATGCGCTCAGAGGGGTGATGCCACACTCCTGACTCGAGATTGCGCGCCGTCAAGGCTTCTGGCCTACTACTTACAGCGATGGGTTCGTTACATCAGCTGGTCCCGCCCACCGCGGGATGTGGTGCGTGGCTGGCCTAACGTGTGAGATCAGCTAGGTTGATTGCCGTATCAACCGATGGAACGGCTGGCATATCCGGAAAACTCGTTTGGACGTGGCTCTCCCCCGAGCAAGCCTCCTTCACTGCTAGAAGAGAAGGGGTTTCGATTTCGGTCTTGTCGACGGTTTCTTTGCGTTTTTTCTTCACTGTCGTTCCACCTCCCATCTCTACACTCAATTTCAGGCGCCATAATGCCCAAACACGAGCCTGACTTTTGCCTTTAAGCGTATAATTAAAATAATGAATCATTTATGGAAGGTAGCAAAAACGTAACCGTTTTAAATATCCCGTTTATGAATTTTTTAATTTTTTTTAGTTTGGCAATAGCCTTCAATGTTCTCTCAGATGACCTAACACATCACAGGTTTCTGGTAATGCTCTACTGCTAACATGGGAGAAATTATGATTACTCAGACACACAGCGAGCCTTCTGACCAAAGCTAAGGAATGTCCACGTAAAGAGATCGCCTGTGTATAAGTCAATGTGAAATTACGGGGTCACACTGAGTTATTGTAATTAAGAACTAACTCTAACTTTCCACTTCATTTCAGGTCCCGAAGATGAGAAAACCTTGACATGGATAGACGTTGAAGCTACGGTCCCATTAGTCGGAAAAAGCTCAAAATCGCGGAGGAAGACAGTACTTCGAAGCGGTATTCCCTATTCATATCTTCTAAGGCGAACAAGGAATCAATGGTGTCGCCTTTACAGTATCCGGAGTTGCTCTTCCACGTGAAGTTCTTGCAATAATGGGTGGTAGTGGAGCAGGAAAAACAACACTGATGAACATTCTGGCATTTCAAAGTTCTAAGGAAGTAGAGGTTAATGCTACGTTTACCTTTTTGACCGTGATTTTTGCTGGATTGTTCGAATGCTGATTCTAGCAGACCTCTAAATTCTTGCAAAGGACGTACACTTTCCTAAATGCTGTCTTGAGAAATGAATGAAATTTATGTGCATGCCGCTTCGAAAAAAGACCGACATCCTTTGATTTCTGTCCCCTGTACCTGCGATGCAGCAAGAAAAGATTTAGAGCTCAAATGTCTTCTTATAACTCGATGGTAATTCCAATGACTGCAGAATGGTTTGCAGTGAGGTTCACAAATAGCGCCATTTAGCTGCCGCTGAAGAAAAAGCAAACAATGCTGCTAAGGACACCCCGAATGAGGTTCTTTTCTTTGCGGACTATTCTGAACAATGTAAAAGGTGACTGCGAAGAAGCACTGGGTGCCAGAAGGGGATATCAGTCCATAACAGAGCGAAAAAATGGAGATGGGCGAGAAATATGTGCAGTATTCGTGGCGTCAATTCGGAGACCGAGCTAGAGATGAGGGGTGACGCTGCCCCAGAGCTTGCTATGGCGATCAGGCTGCAAGCAAGGAAATGTTTTGCGCTCGTAAACCAGTATGTCCTGTCCAGAAGATAGTGTCAAGGACTGGGACTGACTTACTGATATCAAAGTATGACTTCAAGTGAACACAATAACGAACCCTCATTAAAACAGCAACAAAGGTGGAGCAACAGCACGAAGCTCTATGTGTCCTGAATACTAAACTTAACAGCTTATCGAAATGCGGAAACGCGTTTTCATTATTCCTTGGCTTTCAGCTGTTATATTTTCCAGAGTAAGGGAGCAGTTCTAGTAAATGGGAAAGCAATGACAAAACTCGACATGCGACGGATGTCAGCCTATGTTCAACAGATAGATTTATTCTGTGGAACATTGACAGTGAAGGAGCAGCTGACATATTCTGTGAGTGTAGTAGATTTCAGAAGAAAAATGGGCGCTATCGCAATTTACGCCGCAATATGGTGGCAACGCATTTGAAGCCGCGTAAACATCTCCTTTTTGTTACTACACTAGGCTAAGTCTCAGGCGCGAGGAAGGCTGCGAGGTGTATGACCAAATTCCACTTTTCCCAAAAGTTCTTGCCCTCCAGACTCAGTACTAGAGGATATCCTCTATCCTGCGATAGCGCTGAAAAAATGTATTGCAATTGGTATTTATCTTTACTAGTACGTTCCAACGTACAGTAGCAGAATGTGCCTCGCTCAAAGAAATCTGATGAAAATATGTTGAATCATCCCGCATAAATGCAGCATCTGTGATTACTTGGTACAGGGTGAGAAAATACCATGCCTGAAGAAGCAGACTTTTGAACCCCCTTCCCCCTTTGGACAGCCTATAGGCTCGGCCTAATACTAAGTGAATATGAGCGTCGTAGAGAGGAGTCTATGGTACCGACAGTAAATCAACTCTATTTATTAAACCAGATTAGTCCCCCGTCAACCGCCGGGACCTTCCTTTCCTGCGCAAGCTTTCTATCCTCCGCTATGGTCCCTTCCTCCTGTGACACCAACACCTCGTGGAAGTGACGCGTATGCAACACAATGGTGTTTCAAACAGTAGAAGGGACACAATCATGATATGACGGTAGATTTTTCGCTTCCCTTCCTCTCTCCACTGCCCTCCAGCTGCCACTGCAGCACCATGTGGAATGAACGGAAGTGTGCTAAGCAGGTGTTTATATAGCCCTAAGAGTGTTATCACAACTATCCTGCTACAAAACATTGATATCTCAAATCCTGTAAGCTACCCGATTTGTTAGCGGTTTGTTTATCCCATGAGCTTCCTTCTCACTCACTTCATTTTGCGGACGGACACACATACATACATACACACACACATACAGATACACAAACCGACACACAAAGTTAGCGCTTTATAAAATAGAAGGATTATAAATACATTTAAAGAAAATAGGGTCTTTCAGCTCTGCTCACAAGAAGCATTCCATTCTTCAAGTTCCTACATGTTCATATTCGATTTCAGGCACTACTACGTATGGGAGAAAAGTATACGTACAAGGAAAAAAAATGGAAAAAGTTCAGAAGTGATCAAGGACATGAATTTGACTGACTGTCAAGATACTCTGATTGGCGTACCGAATCGAAGAAAAGGCATCTCTGTAGGAGAGAAGAAACGCCTAGCGTTTGGCAGTGAAGTAAGTTCTCTTCTAGAGATATGTTGAGTACTGCGCAAAAATACCATCTTGTTGGTAATCTCGCCTCTACGGGGAATCTGCTCTACGGCACTTCATATTAGTTCCGTCGCCTTTTCCTTCGGAAGACCGATCATCACTTCGTTACACAATAGTTTTACTATCCGTTTATCGAATTTACCGGAGAACCTTTCTTCAATTGTCTTGCTGGATCATTGCCCACTGCGACGCTAACTCCGCCCATTTTTAATCTCATGGCTTTTTTCGAAAATGACATCCAGTTGCTCCCTTGACTTGTAACTTATACATACACAAATACATACCTGATACCAAAAATATCGAGTTCAACAAGCAATATGCAAAAAAGTTACTGGTCTTGCTTACTTGATGGAAATCGATTGAGCAGAAGTGTCACCCAAAAGCAGCATACAGTGTTAGTATTGCA